TAATGACAAAAACAAATGCATTTCCAAGGACATATCCCCATGGCTAAGTGACGCAGGACGGTGCTCAGCGGCCAAAGTTCCGGGCTTGAGGACATGGAGTTCTGAGCCTCTCCACGGGCATGTCACTCACCACATCCAACTCTTCCCAGAAGCAGAGATAGGCCATCAGGCTGTTGGCACACAGGTACATCAGCTGATGATGTGGCCCCTGTCCCGGGCATCTGTCCGACACACTCCTTCACACAAAGAGCTTGTGTACAGGGGAGGGGGTTGGCCACACAGAGTATGAGGCTGAATTTCTGAAACTTATTCAGTTGTAACCAGAACCACTCTGCCTTGGCACTGTCAAGAAATAGCTACTGAGCCTCTGAGCACCCACAGCGCCAAACACACACATAATGTTTCAGGCTGCAGTGGGTTGGAACAATGTCTTCCTCATCTACAAATTTCACTCAAGCCCACTCTTGCCATTACTTGGAGAGCAAGCCACCTTGAAACGGGGCTCTGGAATCCAGCCCCCACAACACGGCGGGCTCCCACCAGCGCCCAGAGTCTCCGTCGCCGGGCAGGCTTGGGCAGCTTCTCAGGCTTCCTGGGTCTGGATCACTGTGAGGGCCACAGTTGCCTCTGGGCTTCTGCCTGTCCTTTTGGATTCAGGCCATTCGCCCTGAGCGAGAGAGGTGTTTCCTGGTCCCATGCTGGGTTTCCAGGAAACACAGACTCAGAGCCTGTGACCTCTGAACTGTCTGCCAACAACGGCTTAAGCCTTTAACCCTGGAAGCAGCAGCCCACACATCCAGCATGGCTATGGGGCCTCCTTAGTCAGGATGGAGCTGAGTCTGAGGGCGCTGGCACGTCCCACCTGCAGGAAAGGGTGACTTCCCCTAGCCACCACTCCTTGCAGATGCTGTGGTGCTGGAGGGACCCGCGGAGTGAACGGCAATGGGACTGCGTGGTGGCAGCACCACCAACACACAGGTTGGAGCTTTCTAGGGAACAGCTGCCCCTCATCCCTTGCCCAGGGTGTCCCTGAGGGAGGACGGGACAGGATGAGCTTCAGGATGATTGTGCCAGCAATCCACAGCAGGAGCATGTTCTTAAAGGTGCTTGAGCCGCTGCCAGTGACCTGGCCCTTAGGTCCTGACCCAGCGATTCCTCTCCAGAGTTGCCGTCAGCCCTGGGGGAAGACTCTGGAAACCTCTTCTTTCACAGGTACCCACTACTGATCAAAGCCACACCTCTCTGCCATCCTTGACAAAACACTCCTTTTCCTCTTCAGGGTTCCACAGGTGGCTGGCAATGACCAGGGCACACATTTTATTCCTTTGGAATGGTGAGTGTGGCTCTGGGACAAGGCATTGGACGGGGTAGACTTTCCTTTACTGAACTTGGGCTTCGGGCCCATTCAGCTTGTTATACCCGTCCACATGCAGGTCTAGGAAACATGGTCCCCGTGACTCGTGACTCATCCACCCAACTCGGGGGTGGATCCTCATAAAACGCTGGATTCCGTTTTGATGTCTGACCTCTGATAACTTTGAAGTCTTCCTTTCCCTTTTCCCTTCTTCCCCATAGATGGGAAAACCTCGGTGCTCCTTCAGCCCACGTGCGCCCTGGCTGGGCACGGGACTCCTCACCCCGCCGGCCCTTCCGTTCTATCTCAGGATGTTTTGGGACCAGGTGGGGACCTCTGCCTCCTCCCCGCAGGAAACCTCATCATGAGAATGCCAGGCACCGCTGACCCTCTTGGCGGGTGCAGGGCACTGTTAGTCCCTGCAACTGAACAAAATTTGGGGTGCAGGGGTCCATCGTGCACTGAGAGGTGCTCACAACCAGTGAGTGGGGTGTCAAAGGGGGATGGGCAAGGCACACTCTGAGCCTGCATCTGCTCACCCACCGAGAAACACGTACCCCAGGCCCATGCCAGGGACACAGGGACACCACAGGTAGCATTCCTGCCCTGCTCTGCTCTCGGCAGGTCCCTCTGTGGGTTCCCAGGGGGACGCACAGGCACTTGACCAGCCTGGAGAGGTCGGGGGGCTTCCGGGCTCCTTCCTATGATGAGGAGATCAGGAAGGGGCCTCGCGGTGCAGGGAAAGGCACCTTGGGCTGGGGACCGAGAATCCAGGCATTTCTAGTTCCCAAAAGGCCAAGCTGGGGGCAGAGAGCCAAGAGGGGGCTGCATGTGGGTCTTGTGGGACCTGGAGATCTGTGCCGGAGGGCCAGGACTTTGTTCTGAGATATGGGCGGGCGGGCACAAGAGGGTTGTGAGCAGGTCAGCTCTGGGTGTAGACATCCACATGTAGGAGGTAGACTGGAGAGGGGGGAGATTAGAGGCTGAGTGTCCAGGTGGGAGGTGGGAGGAGCTACGGGGACAGAAAGGAGAGAGAGGCAGACAGAGTAGGAGGGGATGGCGCTGGGTGTGGTGGTGCACACCTATAATCCCAGCAGCTCGGGAGGCTGAGACAGGAGGATCTTGAGTTCAAAGCCAACCTCAGCAACGGCAAGGCGCTAAGCAACTCAGTGAGACCCTGTCTCTAAATAAAATATAAAAAGGTGCTGGGGATGTGGCTCAGTGGTTGAGTGCCCCTGGGTTTAATCCCCGGGACCAAAAAACAAAAATAAAAAGCAGAAAGGCAAGGGTCCTGGGGTAACCAGAATGAACCCTGTATTTAGAATCAGACAGGACAGAGTTGGGGAGCCTCCCTGCCTCTCCCTGGACACCTGTTTGGCAGCACCCCCTTCTCTTTCTGGGGTGCTCTCTGCCCTGGAATTCGGGTTCCACAGCCTCCCCTTCCTCCTGCCTCCTTGCCCACAGGTTCCAGGCAGCCCCACCCTCCCGGTTCTTTGTCACTGGAGAGTGGGGATTAGAACCCAGCTCCAGGAGCCGGTGCTTTGAGTCATCAGCCGGCTGCGAGCTGGTGTGGAGAGGAGGGGCCGGGTCTTCCCACCCTGGTTCCTTCCGCCCTGTCCCCTTGGTTCCGAGGAGTCACCTGTCAGCTAGAAAGAGCTCCTGGGGATTAGAGAGCCCCACCTCATCTTCCTGGTCCCCTTCCCACAAGCCGGAAGTCAGAAGTCCCAGTTGGGCTGGGACAAAGAGAGCTAACTGCCTCGTCAGCCTGGGGCCTGGGGCGGCTGACAGAGGGGACAGGTGGGGCAGCATGACAGGTGGCTGAGGAGCCAGGTGGCCAGTGTGAAAGGTGGCGGGCAGATGAAAGGACAGGCAGGTAGGTGGACACAGAGATAGGCAGGCGGAACCAGGGACAGCCACAGAGAGGATCCCGCAGCCACAGAGAAGGTGAGCGGGGGCAGGCCATCCATCACGGAGGGGTGGCATGTGGGGACAAGTAGAGGGGACAGTAGGTCAGCCCCTGAGAGATCTTCAGAGAGAAGGGGAGAGGGAGAGAGGGTGTGGGTGGGAGGCCAGGGAAGGGCCACCTCTGAGAGTCCCTTTCTCCCAGGCTGTGGAGGCAGCCGCTATGAGGCTGGGCATCACCCTGCTCCTGTGCACTCTTGGTGAGTTCCTGGGCAGGGCCAGGATGGGCGAGAGGAGGCTCTGTCTTCCAGCTCAGCTCCGGCCCCAGCCTGGCCCTAGGACGGGAGGGGGGCAGCGCTCTGGCCCACACCTGGCCTGCCCTGCTGCTGCTGTGTCTCGGGCTCTCTGCTTCCCTCTAGTCTCTCTGTCCCCTTTCCCTCCCTCTCTGGGCCACTCTGGTGGGCCACTGTGTCTCAGACCCGCTCTCTCCATCTCTGTGCTCCCCTTCTTTCTCTGACCCCTGGTCTCTGTCTCTGACCCCCTCTCTCCAGCTCCGTGCCTGTCCCCAGGGGCGAGCCAGGCGGACACAGAGAAGATTGTCAATGGCGTGGAGTGCCTGCCTCACTCGCAGCCGTGGCAGGTGGGGCTCTTTGAGGGCACCAGCCTGCGCTGCGGGGGAGTCCTCATTGACCGCAGATGGGTCCTCACAGCTGCTCACTGCAGCGGCAGGTGAGCCCCAGTCTGGGCCCTTCCTGGTGGGCAAAGAAGGGTGATGGGGAGGCAAGTGCTAGGGAGGGCCCCCAGGGAGGCATCCCTCAGAATAGATCTTAGGGGATGAGGGTGCCAAGGGTACAGAACTAGTTCTGCAACAAAAGAGTCTGAGGTTAGATGAGGAGTGGAACTTCCTCAAGAGTGGGACTAGGGTGGGGCTGGGTGGGGTGAGTTCTAGTGGGTGGAGGACCCAGAGGGTCCTCATGTGCCACCCTTTCCTATATGGCATCTGTCACCAGTCTCAGCCACTACTGGTCCCAGTCTGGGTCCTGGACCACATTTACCCCAAACTGAGTGCAACCACAGGGACAAGGTCTGTCACCTTCCTGGGCCTCAGTAGCCCCATTTGTAAGATGAGCCACTTGTTAGATCTGATGCTCTGGGGTTTTTTGATGAAAGGGGAGATCAGACCTGAAGGGACTGAAAGACGCGGGGACAGCAGGACAGAGATGCCATGCATAACTCACTTGCTCAGACGACAGTACTGACAACTCCTCTGTGGGGCCAAGTGGCAGGGACAGGCATTGAACTAGGGAAGATGTCAACTCCAGCCACCTCATGGGCTTCACTGTTTAAGAGCGTCGGAGCAGGCGCGCAGGCGCGGCTCCGAGGGGGCGGGGCTGCCCTGCCACCTGCTGAGCCGCTGCGACCCCAGCAGGTACTGGGTGCGCCTGGGGGAGCACAGCCTCAGCAGGCTGGACTGGGCCGAGCAGATCCGGCGCAGCGGCTTCTCCGTGACCCACCCCAGCTACCGGGGAGCCCTGCAGAACCACGAGCACGACCTCAGGCTGCTGCGGCTGGGGACACCCGTGCGCGTGACCCGCGCCGTGCGGCCCCTGCCCCTGCCTAGTTCTTGCGCCGCAGCTGGCACAGAGTGCCACATCTCCGGCTGGGGCACCACCAACAAACCATGGAGTAAGGAGCCCCCTGGGCAGGGGTCAGAAGAGGGAAAGCCCGGGGTGGAGGGTGAGAGGGCAGGAGAGAGGTCAGGCCTGGCAGCAAGGGAGTGCGGCAGACCCCAGGTCCAGGGTCTGGGGTCAGAGATCAGGAGGGATCTCCTAGGACTTAAAGAGGTGAAGGGAGTGGGTGTGGGGTCAGAAGTCAGAGGTCAGGGATGCAATCAGGTCAGAGTGAGGTCAGGGGTCATCAGACTGGAGTAAAGGTACATGTAAGTAGGTTCTTGGTGTCAAGGGTCAGGGGCTTGGGTATTAGAGGTCCTGGGATCCAGATGTTGCAGATCTGGGTATAAATTGGGATTTTATCTCATATCTGAGATTAGAAGTCAGGGGCCAGAGGTTTAGGTTCATAGAATCTGGGGTCAAATAAACTAGGATCAGAAGACATTTTGGGTTTGGGCAAAGGAAATGAAGAGGGGGACTTGGAGGGACCCTGTAGCACGACCTCCCGTCCCCAGGCCCATTCCCTGACCGGCTCCAGTGCCTCAGCCTCCCCATCGTCTCCAACGCCGCCTGCCGGGCCGTGTTTCCCGGGAGGATCACCGACAACATGGTGTGCGCCGGCGGGGTCGCTGGGAGGGACGCCTGCCAGGTGAGCACACACAGGAGGTGCACGGTCACCCAGGACAGGAAGTGGGGGCTGAGGAAGGGAAACCAAAGCAGGGAGGGACTCTTGGAAATGGGGACAGAGGAAGAGATGGGTGAGAAAGAAGGCGAGGTTCAGGGAGGCGGAGAACAGGTCGAGGGCCTGCCGGAAGAGGACGGAGCGAGGGAGGGAATGGAGGAGGGAGGTGGAGACGGACAGGTGGCCCAAAGAGAGGGAGGGGGGAACAGAAGGACAAAGGGTGAGGAGGGCAAAGGACCAGCCAGGTCCTGGAGCTGCCAGACCCAGGGCTCTGGGCATTCCCCACACTATCTTCCAGCTGGTGCGGCTCCAGGGTGACAAAGAGATGTGGGGACAGAGACGGGAAGGGGCCAGTGGGCTTTTACCCTCTGGTTCCACATTCTTGCTCTCTGGGGGCCCCCAGGAAGAAGGAGGAGGCTGCTAAATCTCACTGTCCCGGTACCCAGCCACTGTCCTTAAGAGAACTCTCTGCCCTCGTGCAGTCCCGCCCTCCTTCTCTGGGATTGGCAGTAGGAGATAGTTTTCTCTTCACTCATTGGCCAGCATCCCAGCCAATGTCCTGGAAGAGTCCCACCTCCCTTCCTGGGATTGGCCCTCAGGGACAGTGTGCTCTCTTCGATTGGCTGGCCACTTCTATTGTCTTCCCGGAGCCTGGCTGTGCTCCTCCCTCCCAAGACCAGGCTTGGACCACCACCCCCAAAGCCTAGGAAAGGATCCGTGATAAGTGAGGGGTAGGGAGGAAAGCAGGAGCAGGATGACTCCCTTATTTATGCAGCATTCCGTCTTACAGGGTGACTCTGGGGGACCCCTGGTATGCGGGGGAGTCCTTCAGGGGCTGGTGTCCTGGGGGTCCGTGGAGCCTTGCGGGCAAAAAGGCATCCCAGGAGTCTACACCAATGTTTGCAAGTATGTGGATTGGATCCGGATGATCATAAGGAACAACTGACCTGCTTCCTCCATCTCCACCCTCAACTTGGGGGCCTTTCTGACCCTCAGCACCAGAATCTTTTGTTGATCTGGGGAACTTCTTGGAACTGCGATTCTAGTCAGTCCTCCTGAGACCCATGACTTGAGGGGAGGACTGCACAACTGTCAGAAATAAATACCGTGTAACTGAAGGAGGGCTGTGTCTGTCTGATGATCCTAAGCTCTTTGAGACTGGAGGGAGCCTCCTGGGCTCCTCTACCTCCAGATGCAGAAATAGACACCAGAGAGTGTAGGGTTTTCCCTCAGGGATCACACAGGAATGGAGCAAAAAAATTTATGAAGGCCACCTTTCTCCATCAGGCATGATAGAAATAGTGCCCAGAGCTTATATGCTCTTCAGTGGCCTATGAAGAACCTGAAAGAAGAAAAAGAAAATATCAAATGCCAACTGAAAATCAGATTTCAGTGACCATTTAATGAAATGTCTATGACCTGTGACTTTTTTTACATTGGCCAATGGCGGTTTGGCTCTTTTGTGTTGAGCCGACTTGTATTGGTGCAGGAAGTCAGTCTATTTTAATGTCTGGATGGCCCAGGGTGGTGGAATGTGGCCTTTGCCTCAAAGGGTCCTGCCCACCTCTGGGGTTCTCTCCAGCAGGCCGAAAGAGAACATCACCCTCTGAAAAGTGTGGATGGGGACCTGGGGACTGAGGGGGACAGGGCTCAGCAGCGCAGCCAGGCCTGTGACTGACTGAGCCCCACAGAGCTGGGCTCTCCTCGTGACTCTCTGGAGTCTTCATCCCACCCCCCACCCCACCCCAAGGCAGGGCCGTCACCCCCATGTTGCAGATGAAGAAACTGAGCCTCGTGGGGTGGAGTCCCTCGTCCCACGTCACAGAGGTAGGAAGAGGCAGAACCGGGGTTTGAGGCCAGGGTTGGCTGCTGTCAGAACCTAGGGCTACCCCGCCTTGTTCCACATCTGGTTAGGGAGAGAGCAGAGAAAGACCCAGGGAGGAGACCTGAGAACAAACAGCTGGGAGAAGTGGGGCTCCGCACCGGGCTTCCCAGATGAGGAGGCTGAGGTGGCTGAAGGACTGGAAGTCGTCAGGCCCAGGCCCCGCAGCAGTGAGTAAGTGCACAGCTGGACTTGGACCCAGATGTCCAGCATCCAGAGGCCCAGGAGGTGGGGAAGGCCGCAGGGGGAAGAGGCTTCAGAGAAGGAGGATCCAGAGAGCCCTAGGGCTTGGGGCACCTGCCGGGCTCTTCTCCCCTGGCTGGGCCCTGGCTGTGCAGGCCCCGACCTGCCTCTCTCACCTGCCGTCCTGCCCCTTCGCCTGGCAGCAGCCCCACCTCCCTGACGCCCCAGTTTCCCCCATCTTTGGAAAGGAGAAGGGAGGGCCCCAGAGGAGGCCAGGGGCCACGGCCAGCTGGGGCTTCGAGGAGAAAGGGGCAGGGCAGGCAGAGACAGAGGGACTGGAGGAAGACAGGGACTGGAAAGCTTGGGAGCCACTGAGACATGGACAGGAAGAAGGACAGGCCGCGAGAGACAGGGCCCAGAGCCCAGATGGAGGAAGGAGCAGAGAGGGACGAAGGCCTAGAGACAGAAGGAGGAAGACCTCCCACCCAGAGGGCCGTGTGGCACAGAATGACAGAAACAGATTCAGAGATGAGCAAGAAGGGGACCGGTGCATAGAAGACAGATGACACAGGGGAAGAGGGGCCTGGAGAGGTGACGCGGGCAGCAGAGTGCCAGGGAGGCCCCCACACCCCGCCCCCAGGCAGCAAGGCAGGGCTTGGAGGCCAGTCATCCCGGTCTGCCCCGGGCCACCCCTGCCTGCCAGCCCGCCCGGTGCCTGGCGCTCTGACCCAGCCTGCCGCAGCTGCCACCGCCGGTCCCCCGGAGCCCCAGCCCAGAGCCCGTGAGTCGGGGAGGGAAGAGAAGCCCCCTCCAGGAGTCTGCTGACCCTGGACGCCAGTCCTCCTCTGCCTCGGTACCCACTCCCCTCTGCTCTGTCCTTTCCAGCTTGGGTGGGGCTCTCTACCTCTCTCTGGTCTCTCACCTCCAGCCTGCTGCCCCCAACCTCCATGACCTCTGACCCCAGCTGGGAAGCTCAGTCCACCCTTCAGTCCCACCCCCGCTGGCAGGGCATCTCAGGGCACAACCCTCCCTGTCCACCCCGCCTAGCTCCCTTGGGCTATCTTTCAAAGGGGCAGGGGTGCACCAAGGGGAAAGGAGGAAGGCGGACACGGTCCCACGCTGACCACTTCCTTCCTTGGAGGCAGACCTCAAAGCCTCCATGTGGCCTGCTGCTGAGACCACAAAAAATGGGGTGGTTACCGGATGGGGCCTGGAGCCTGGCCAGGTGTGGGGGGGCCAGAAGAAGAGCACCGCCACAGTCTACCCAGAGGCCCGGCCCTGGCGCGCCCCACAGCCCCTCCCAGCAACTTCCTCTGGCTCCTTGGCATTCCAGAAGCTTCTAGCTGGCCCAAGTCCCCTCCAGGCCACCCTGGAGCCTAAGATTGACCTAAGGTTGATTGTTGTGCTATGAGAACCAGGGGGCTCCCCAGACTGGCTCCTCCCTGGGGGAGGCAGGCAGGGCCAGGAGAGGGGGCAGCTGGCGTGAGGCGGGGTGTCGTGAACAGCCCTCCTCTCCCCTCAGAGTGCTGAGGGCCGGCTCCCTTCTTGTCCCCAGAGGAACCCGGGCCTTGCCCTGCCCCGCTCCAGGCCATGATGATTCTGCGATTCATCACGCTTGCTCTGGTGACAGGTACTGTGATGGTGACAGATGGGGAGGGCCGGGCCCTGGTTCTGCCATCGCTGGGATCCCTACCCTCTGGTATTCAAAACCTAGACAGACCTGTGTGTCATGGGCATGGAGACCACCATAGGGCCATGCTGGGTGTGACCCCTCTAGATGCCAGCATGGGGAGAGGCCAGGGGCCCAGAGGAGGGACCAGGGAGCTGTGGGGGGGGAGGGCTGACCACCAGTGAGGAAGCACTTCAGTTCCTCCACACCTGACCCAGCCATGGCACACCCAGCGGACCCAGCCGGGCCAGCCCACCCCCTCACTCTCCTCTCCCACATCGGGGTCTCCCGGGCCTAGCCCTCCTCAGGCCTGAGCCCCTCTTTTGCCCCACCTCCCGCAGGGCATGTCAGGGGAGAGACCAGGATCATCAAGGGGTACGAATGTCCTCCTCATTCCCAGCCCTGGCAGGTGGCCTTGTTCCAGAAGACGCGGCTGCTCTGTGGGGCCACCCTCATCGCCCCCAGATGGCTCCTGACAGCAGCCCACTGCCGCAAGCCGTGGGTGCGGGGGCTGGGGCGGGGCTGGGAGGGGGCTGGAGGTGGAGAGATGGGTGGCAGGGGGCCTGAGGACAGGAAGGACATGGAGGAGGGTGGAGAGCAGGGCGCAGAGGGGGAGGGGGCGTTAGCAGGAGGAGTGGGATCGGTTGGGATTGCAGACCGAGGGATGGGTGTTTGGGGACCTGGTGGTTCTGGGAATGGGTTGGGGGGGCGTTGGAGCTTGGAAGGGAGCTCCGGAGGGAGATGGGGTTGGAAGCGGAGCCCTGTCCCTTTGTTCTCGAAGGTGTCACTCATCTCTCCTCCCCAACCCTGCGCGTGTGTCCCCTCCACCTCTCCACCTCTGACCACTGTCCCTCCCACCTCAGCAGCTACGAGGTCATCCTGGGGGAGCACAACCTGCAGCGTCAGGATGGCTGTGAGCAGAGGCGAACGGCCACCGAGTCCTTCCCCCACCCAGGCTTCAACAACAGCCTCCCCAACAAGGACCACCGCAATGACATCATGCTGGTGAAAATGTCCGCCCCGGCCCTCATCACCAGGGCCGTGAGACCCCTCTCCCTGCCGTCACACTGCGTCACTGCTGGCACCCGCTGCCTCATTTCCGGCTGGGGCACCACGTCCAGCCCCCAGTGTAGGGACTATAGAGCGAACCTGGTGGGGGTGGGAAGGGAGGGGTGGTCACGAGGACGAAGTGACACCAGGGACCAGAGGAACCTTCTGAGGTCCGATTCATAGTGATGCAAGAGGGGTTGCCTGGGGGTGTCAGGAGTAGGCTCTGTTGGAGGAAAGATGGAAAAGTCAGGACTGGGCAAGGGGGGGGTTGGGGACAGAGATACGCATTGGAGCCTCACAGTGGGACAGGTGTGATGTGCAATCTAAAACTGCTAACAGGGGACCTCAGACGAGGAGCTTCACCCCTCTGAAGCTTGGTTTTCTCCCCCCCACACACACCAGGGTGGCATTAGAGATAACATGTAGACAGCGACTGCAGACAGATTGGCTCAATGGTGTGACCGTTGCTATTGGTACAAGCAGAGAGTCGAGTTGGCTGTGTGTACAGAGGACAAGGGCTCTCCCTGGAGGAGCGCAACTTGTGGGGCTGGGGAGGGGGGCTGGCTTCCCACGGCCTCTCCCACTGTCTCTGCAGTGCGCCTGCCCCACACCTTGCGATGCGCCAACATCTCTATCATTGAGCACCAGGAGTGTGAGAGCGCCTACCCCGGCAACATCACAGACACCATGCTGTGCGCCAGCGTCAAGAAAGAGGGCAAGGACTCCTGCCAGGTCAGAGGGCAGGGCCAGGTCTCCCACCACACCCCAGCCCATTCCCCAACCTCAGTGACATGCACAACCCCAACCCCAGTGCCAAGGCCACCTGCCCTGCAGCTAAACCCACCCCATCCCCAGTTCCCATATCTGACTCCAACACACTCCCCAGCCCCATGCCCACCCCCATTTCCAACTGGACCATCCCCAAACTCATTTTTTTTTAGTTGTAGATGGACACAATGCCTTTATTTTGTTTATTTAGTTTTATGTGGTGCTGGGGATTGGACCCAGGGCCTCACACATGCTAGGCAAGTGGTCTACCACTGAGCTACAACCCAGCCCCCAAACTCATTGTGACCTTAAAGCCATCCTTACTCCCACCCACAATCCCAAGTTCACCACCCCAGTCCATCACCAGTCCCATCACCAACACATCCTCTCCCCCTCCCTCCCTTCCCACACCATCCCCCGCTTCCCAGAACCTCCGCCCTTTGCTCTGACTGGTTCTCTCTCTTCCCATGCCCAGGGTGACTCTGGGGGCCCTCTGGTCTGTAACGGGTCTCTTCAAGGCATTATCTCCTGGGGCCAAGATCCATGTGCTGTCACCAGAAAGCCCGGTGTCTACACAAAAGTCTGCAAATATGTAGACTGGATCCAGGAGACCATGAACAACAATTAAACAGGACCCACCCCTCAGCCCCATCTTCCTATAAACATTTGATCTCATTCATTCTGCTCACTCCAAACCCTAAGCCAGGACTCTTCCGTGCACTTCCTTGGCTGCAGGAGACGCTATAGCTTTATAAGGAACTTGGGGTTTGGAATCAGGGACGTCCTGGCTGGCACTAACCTGTGACTCTGGAAGTGATGATAGCTGTTACGTTCACTGTCATATCTCTAACCCCAGAGACAGTTCCTGATGTACACCAAGGTTGTAATAAATATTTAGAGTGAATGAATCCATGGAGTACTTACTATGGGCCAGACAGACCCTGGTCCAAAGGGCTTTTAAATACATCAACCAACACAATCCTCACAAACTCTGAAAGGTCAGCACTATTATCATACCCATTTTACAGATGAGGAAACTAAGCATGGAGAAAAGAAATTTGCTCATGGTCACTCGGCCAGTAAGGGAAAGAAGGGCAAGGATTTGAAGCCAGGTGATCTCTTAACTAACAAGTGGTCCCACCTTGACGGAAGCTCGGTTTCCTTAGCTGTAAAACTGTGCACCCAAAAGTCTGACAGCACAGTAAATAAGTCAGCCCGCACACAGCAAGGCCTCACAAAAGGGACCTCTAGTTATGTTCCAACCTCCGTGACAGGTAGTTGATTGAGGCCCACATTGGCCAATATGGTGGCCACATGCATCCATTTAAATAAAAAATAATGACATTAAAGTCAGAAACGGAGTTCCTCTGTCACACATGACGCATTTCAAATGCTCCACAGCCACATCAGATATGCATATAGAACTTTAGCATCCTTTCCAACAGGATGGTCAGACAGGGCTGAGCTGAACAGCCTCTGAAGTTAATTCCCGAAGGACAAGGTGCCTCATAAATCGTCAGGAATTCAGGATCTTTTCCAATGTTCTGCTCGCCTTGCAGGGGAGGTATCTGGCATGAGGAGTAAGGACCCAGAACTGGAATTAGGGCCCTCTGTTGTTAGGTGGACTTGCTGTGTGACTTCTTGTGAGTCATTGCTGTCTCTGAGCCTTCCAGTTCCTCACCCCAAATAAGGGAGTAGTCCCAGGTGATGTTGATGCCCCTTGCAGCCTGGGCCTCTTGTGATTCATAAGCCCGAGTGTCACCTGGAGACACACAGATGGCAGGGAGGGTGTGAGATGGGAATGCATGGTATGATGCAAGGCCACCACCCCCCCCAACACCGAGCGCCAGTCACACACACAAGAGGCCCACTGCGTCGCTATCGGGTGGGCTCAAACACAAAGCATCCTTCTCTCGGCCTCTTGTTCTGCTCCTTTCCTCTCCTGTCTTTCCTGTTTCCCTCCCTTCCCCCGCTGGCTTGTGTCCCTCCTACTCTTTCCATCCAGCTATTTGGCCTCTGCCTCCTTCCCCTTCCGCATTCTGCCGGCTCTCACCTGTCTCCCTGGTGCATATTTCCCTGTTCATTTCCTCTCTCCAGTGGCTGAACACCATCACTTGCCATCCCACCCCGGGGTTCCCTGGATTCAGGGCGCCCTCCCCCCCACCACAACCACACCTGGAAAGACTTCTTGAAACAGGGGACCCCGGCAGTCCCCATAAGAATCCAGCCACAAAAAGGGTGTTTGGGTCACAGGGAGAAGCCTGTATTCCAGGGCCCCTCCCAGGGCAGGAATCTGGGGCCCAGGTCGGGTGCCAGCCTCACCCACGGAGTAATTAGGCAGAGGGAAAAGAGGGAGTGAATCCCTGGGGGAAGGGTGGGGAAGCTTCCGGGATCTCGAGGGTTAAAAGGGAAGGTCTGCCAGGGGTCCCTGGGCAGAGGATTCTGACGGCCCACACAGCAGGGCAGGGGACTCTGGTTCTTCTTCCTCCTTCCTACTGAGGACTCCCAGGTGAAGCGGATGCAGTCCACCCGCGTCGGGGCGGATGCCGAGAGGTTGGGTGGGGACCCTCAGGCCACCGGCAGGAGCCCTGTCTGAGCCTCGATCTCCCTATTGGTGGGACGGGGAAATCCCACAGCAGTGCAATTTAGAAGAGGTCCCCCTGGGCTCAGGTCTGGGATCCCCACCCCACCTGCCAAGGAGGGTGAAACCCGGCGCGCGACAAGGCTGGCCACCGCGGCCGCCCGGGCTCTCGAGGTCTCCTCTGCGACATAGGGAGGAAGCCAC